TCCGATCGTTTCGTTCGGAGAAAGCTGCCTCCGTTACTCGAGGGGGAAAAACGATCATCGGGAGGGGCGGGCAAGACGAACGCTCGCCACCAAAAAGCTTTCCGTTCTCATCTCGCCTCGGGACGATCCGTTTTGTCGTGGCTGGTCGTTTCTAAATCGGTAACAAGACGACCGATAACGGATAACCGTTCACCACTGGGCTTCGTCGAAAGGGCACGTATCTGCTCCGAATGCCACGCGTCTGGAGATAACGGGACCTCCAGCCGTTTATATTTATCCGACGCCAAGGTTCGCCGCTTATTTTCGTCGTCACGAAACGCGAAGGAATCGAACGGACGACGCGATCCTGTGACCAACAACGGCGAAACGAGTTGTTCGGTTTTTGCACCGATCCGTGGAATACGAAGTCGCGGCAAGCGAACGCCAGGCCGTAACGCGTGTACCGGCATTAAGTCATTACCGTAAGCGTCGACTCGAGAGCGAGCAATCGACGAACTTGTCCGTCACGCGAAACCACGGCTCACGGCGAACGTGCCAGCTAACGACTTATTCGCCCGTGGCTCGTACGCGGCCGCCATTCTTTCGACGGCCGGATAGAAAACCGTGAAGAAACCTATCAATGCGAATCGCGCCAGATCGGCACGATGCGATTGTTATCGGAGATTATGGTAGAATTAAATTCATATTTTCTTTATCCCGTGATTACATTAGTACCCACCTATCACTGGAGAGGAAGTCTCGACGCTTTAGCATCGACTCGGAGATTCCTCAGGTTCAGTAAGGATGAATAAAATTAAAAAGGGACGCATCTAGATCGCGAATTATCGAGAAAACTGAACGATCGTGGTGGAATGTTTTTTTCATCGATTCGTCGCCGCAAATGACGGCAATAACGAATTGCGTCGCTTGGTTCGGTCATCCACCGATCAATTTTCAGCGAGCTAACAGACGACTGCTAGCGGCGTACGAAAGAACAGGGGACGAGAAGGTTTCGCGAGCTCGACGAAGCATTCCGGACGTATAATTGCCTCGGGATTTTGTCGTCGAACGACAAACTCGGCCCTCGTCTCCTTTCCCTGCTCGGTGTTTCCAGCTCCTCGATCGCGCGCGATCCGTAGGAACTCGGCCGAACGGGCACGCGCCGACAAAAACGTAATCGCGCTCGTCGCCGGGACGATTTACGCCGATCAATCTCCGTAACTCTTCGCCGGTGTACTCGGCGACTGCTCTGACCTCGTTTCCGAATATCCGACCGCTCCGATCTTTTCGCGTCGCTTGTGAATCGCGCCATCTCGGTCTCCGAAACGTCCTGTAATTTCGTATTTTGTTTCAAAATTTCGAAACCACGCCTACTCCCTTAATAGCGAACACAGAAATGTTGTTAAAGTCACATTTTGGTTCGATCCTGGTTAAGTTCTGAATCGAAGAAGACTTTGACCAACGTCACCAGCAAAAGGTGGTTAATTCCAAGTTTTCCACCGTGAATGCGTTGTTCTCGATCGAAGTGTTCGCATACGGAATTCATACCGGAAGAAAGGACGTCGACGAGAGTGAAAAAAAAGAGAGAGAGAAAGATGGACGAAAGAAAAAAAGTTTCTCAACTATAGCAGTGGCGGCTGCGACAGCGACGGCGCGGTTCCATGGCTACGCTGCTTCTCTCCTGCATTCCGAGCCGCGGTTCCCACACACACATACACACACACACACACACACACACACACACACACAAGCACGCACGCATGTGCACCTCCACCTTTCGATTCATGCATTCTCTCGGCGACGTCCCTCTCGACGTCGAAGAAGGAAGGGTGACGGAAACGGCGGGGACGGCGGACCGAAGGAGACGACGAGCCGCGCGGAAGGAGGAACGAGGAACGAGGAAGGAGTCGACTCGACTCGGATGAATGAAAAAAAAGAGAAGAAAGGAGAGGGATGATCCGAACACGATCGAGAGAACGTCGAACAGAGACGGAATCGGCGCGAGCAAGAAAGAGGAGGCGAGAGCAACGACGGGCGGGTGGGAGGGAGGGGGCGGGAAGAGAACCGAGACGAACAGTGTGAGAGTGAGAGAGAGGCAGATATCCGGGATGGTTTTCAGAGAGTGGGAGAGCTTCGACGAAAGTTCCTTGCGCGATGACCACGGGAAAGGTGGTGGGGGAGACCGACAGGCGTGGCCTTGATAAGGACCGCCCGCTATTTCCCCTTGAGAGCCACGTGCTCGTGTCTACGAGGAGCCAGAGAGAACATCGGAGTAGACGTCTGTCAGATCCAGCCGGATTATTCTCTTCGGTCCGATTGCGCTTGGTGGCTGCGCAATCTTTTCCCGGACCACGAAGACGTTTATCGATCCTTAATGCTCGATGCCGTAGGCAACGACGTTCCGAATGGATTCTCGGTCTTTCATGTACATTTAAGAGGCCTTTTTTTTTCCTCGCACAGATGATTGTCGTCGTAAGGTAGATAAGGAGTAGGTTTTGCGTGTTTCTTCGGATCGAAAGCTAGTCGTAGGATTCGAAGGTAAGTGATTAAAAGCGTAGATCGGTAGGAGGACACGGAAAGAGAAGAACGGTGGAAATACAATAGATAGAGACGGCGAAAGACACCGGTGGGATACGGAACGGTGGAAAAGGGGATAGTCGAACGGTGAACGGGCGAAGGAAGAAGGGCAGAGGCTGGACGACGGGAGGCGGGGCGAGATTCGATCGATCTCGGGGGAGTCGAGACGGATTTCTCTGGTCGGGAGGAAGCGAAGCACGGAGAACAGAAGCGAAGAAAACGGAAGGGTATAGAGAAGAGGAGAGGACGAGAAAAGGGAAAAGGCGACGAAAAGGGAAAGGAGAGAAACGACGAGGAGAGGAGCACCGAAGGCGAAGACAAAGAGAGAAGGAGGAAAAGAAGGATTGTAAGAAAGGAGGGGGGGGGGGGGGGGGACTCTCTCTGAAGAGAGATCGGCTCTTCCGCGGACGAGCGCGTGCAGTCGCTAGCCGAGGCCTATACTTGTCCGTCGAAGGGTATTGGTTCTCGACGCGCGGTACCGTACCCCTCGTGTGGCGAACGAAAGAAAAGGAAACGACGACGGGTTGGCTCCCCTTTTGCCGCGTTCGTCTCGCGGGTCGACGCTCGTTCGCCCGCTCCTCGCTCGCTCGGTTCGTTCGTTCGTTCGTCCGTTCGTCCGTTCGATCGGTCGATCGATCGCGCGCGCGCGACCGGTCGCAGCACGCAACTCCTCCCGGGGTTCTCTCGATACGAGGAGCGATAGCGCGCAACCGGCTGGTGGTAGGACGTGTCCTCGCGCCGAGTAGAATCCGAGTCGGGTCGGGACACGGGACGAGAAGGGACGGAAACGAAACGAGGGGGAAACGAGAGGGAAACGAAAAACGGTGTGTGCCTACCGGGGGACCGGCGGCTGGTCGGACTGGACCGATCCGTTCGGTCGGGAAGCCAGCGACGACTACCGATTTCGGGGGCTCAAGGCAACTCCATTATTATCCGGGCCGGCAGTGCCGACGGAAAGCTTCGAGGAGGGTTGCCAGGTATCCTGCCGGCTGCAACTGTGCCTCTCCCACCACCTCTGATTCGGCGAGAACTCCGGCAAGGGTGACACCCACCCCTCGGGAAAAAAAAGCCCTTCGGGGGGTGAGTTTCTGTTGAGGGACTCTCGACGTCGCCCGCTACCAACTACAGTCACTCAACTGTCGGACTGTCGGCATTACGGTTCTCGCGAGGCGAACTCCGTGCTTTGACAGCTGACCGATCGTCTTCGGCCATTCTACCGCTCGGATATCTGGGTACGGCGTGGCTCCCTTGGACGTTTCTTACACGACGGAATTCCCCGAGTAACCGTCACGCGAAGGGTCGGAACCACGATGATTTGAACGCTCCTGAGACCGATTCATTCCGAGTGTGCACTCCCGACGAGACGCGTCGTCGAACCTATCGTGGGGAAACCGTCTTGATCGAGAAATTAAAACGTCTCCGTACACGATTCTATTATGTGCGCGACGTCGATCGCGAACAGCACCGTGTGATGTTCGTAATTCGGTGAGTGAGACGATTTGGTGCGTGGTGTTGTCGCCGTGTTCGAACGAGACTGCGATCGCGATCTCGGAAAAGTAGTCTGGAAACAGAGGCTGAAACGGAGACACCGAACGGGAGGAAGATGAGGCTCTGGGTGATTCTCGGCGCCCTCGCGGTGGCGATTCACGCTTCCCTCGCCGAAATCACCAGGAACAAGAATCGCGGAAGAGGATCCATGTGGTGGTAAGTGGAGTAAATTGATTTTATTTCGAATCGTGAACGATTTTTTACACGCGAAACGGAGTATTTAAATACACATCTCTACGTCTAACGTCGTCCATCACGACGAGTCTCGAAGTAATCGACGCGATGCGTCGAGGAAAATAGATTACGCAAATGTCAACGATCGCCCACGATCGCCACGTTCGAACACGAAACAACCTTTGAGAGTTAATTGCGCCGCGATGGCCGCGTTAACACCTGTCTCACGGGGCTTTTATATCGAGGTAACGGTGGTAGCGACACTCGCGCGCGAGCCTTCTTATTAATCCATTAATCATAAGTCTCGAGCCGGTACACTATTCGATCCGCCAATGATTTCTCGTTGGAACAAGAAAACGCTGGATGGATATTAGATAATGGCTAACTTCATTAGCCGGGTAATAAATAATGCACGGCGGTGTATGTACCACGAACGAGTCGAACGTGCGCTCGCGACCGATCGAACCGCAACGGGGCCCCCGCTCGTTTACAACCGAAAGAGATAGTCACGGAAATATCCCATCGGGTACCAGAACGATAAACTGCCGGCGATAAATCAGCCCGTGTGCTCGGTCCGCTTTTCCAGCCGCGAGTTGATTTAAGACACGGCCACGCGCAGGTAATTATTGCCTACGAATTAATTAATCTAATACGTCGGTAACATTCGCGTGGACACGCGTGGATACGGGCAAGCCTGCCTCGGGTTTCGCAGTCCGGAGTAATTTATACGCTGGGCTCCCACGGCGAAAGGTGGATTGACTTTTCGTTCGAATTCACGAGAACGGCGTATCGGCGAGACGGCGGTCCCCGAATAGATATCGCAAAATCGGCAATATATTCATCGGTAAACTAGACGGTTTACTTATCGCGCATGAGCCCTCCCGTGTACGTGAAACGGGCCCGATTCTGGGTGGTCCCCGTCCAGTCTTAGACCCGCGACTCGTAGCGCACGCCAATAACGTCGATCGATTGAAAAAGACAAAAAAAAAAAAAAAAAAAAAAAAAAAAAAAAAAAAGCAAAACCGTATCCCTGTTTGGAAACCGGTAGCTTCGGGACTGGATTTATCGGGGTTGACGCGCGCGAGTCATCGTGGAAACGAGGTGTATCTTGTGGCGGGCGGAGCGATGTATCGGGACCGACAAGTCGGTCGACAGACCCCGTTGAAAAAGACGTCGACGAAGAGTGCCCCGATCGGACCCGTTGACATCTCGCATCGGACTCTCGAGGCGCTGTGCGTGTCGTTCTAGACAGGCCGCGGTTAGAAATGTCTTTGCGATCCCCAAGGATGATCGGTTTCTTGGGCCGCTACGAAGAGCTTAAAAAACACGGCTGAAGATCGTATAGAAGAGATGTAACTCGGGCAGATCGTTGGTGGTTAGGCAAGAGTAGTGAATATCAGGGTTCCAGGATCGTTTGGTAAATCGATGAGACGATAATTCACGCGATAATCGCGGGAATTTAATGCGGGCCTTTGTCACTGGGAGCGCGTGGCGCCGGATCGTTATTAGCCCACCCCGTGCGATAAATTATTTTCGTGGTCGCGGCGTGTCCGCTGGCAGAAAACACGTGGACAGGGCCAGAAGGGGTGACCGCGAGAGAGGGAAAGGGAAAGAAGCATCGGGCCTGGATCGTTGTGAGTCGTCCCCGAAGCTTTTGCCCAGGGCGAACGTGAATTACAAGCGATAGATATATCCTAACCGGTCCGGAGAACGGTGCTTATTTATGGGGCATCGCTTATCGAATGCATCGTGTCGTGTAAACGTTTGCGCAGCGTAAACGATCGCGGGAGCGCGCGTCAGCCAACGTGATTCGCCGCGACGTCGTTCGTTCAAGGACGGGAAGAAATTACCGTTGCTGCGAACGCAACCCGATGACGCCGCGAATTCGGCACGCGGCCACCGGTAATTACGAGAGTTCCACAGATCTCTGAAGGAATTTCGAGAAAATCGGTGAAAAGGCAACGAATCATCGTGGAGATTATTACCGAAAGATGACGTTCCGATCGTTCGATTCTCCTCGCGTCAGGCACGGGGACTCGTCGCGTCAGACGCTGAAAAAGATACACTAACCGGCGTGTAACGCTTTTACGAGCCTGTGCATGAGCGATTCGGTTTATTTACACGACACCGGAGAGTGTCAACGAGAAATCTCGGCCTCGGCTGGCTGGCTTTTCGCGGTGGCATCGGCGTCCGGGTTCTCGTCTGTCCGTCCGTCTGTCTGTCTGCTTTTCTGGCTGTCTCTGTTAGCCATCAGGAAAGTCGTTGACAACGGAACGTCGACGGAGAAGCAACGACGGTGATTAGCTGTTTATTATGGAAGGTGACGAGCGATCCCTGATCCCTTGCAGCGCGTGACTACGCTATGCTAACATCCAAAAATCTCGCACCAACGAGAGACGCTTTTAACCCTTGTGTAGGCAACCCAGGTACAGATTTCTAAATTTTACAATTCTTTATCTTCTCGTTTGAACTTGGTATATAATAGGAAGGGAGGTCTAAGAGTTTCGGAAAAGTATGAAAGTAAAGTTATCTATGTTTATCGAATCTGTCAGAATAGGGCGTATTACCGATTGCTCAATAACCGTGGATATTTTCGTTGCCCACAGTAGGGTTAATAGGTGAACGGTTCCCCGAATTAGGTTCTCCTTAATAATAATAATATAAATAAGAATCCACTACCATAGAAACAGTGAACCCCTACTTTACTTGGTTTTAGCCCGTAAAATAGAGAGAAAACCCAGTGGAAAGCTCTGAGGAAAACCTAATGGTAATCGTAATAATAATAATAATACATTCGTTGTGCAACCAATAGAAGCTTCGGCGTACAAAACGAGCAAAGTACATGTGTACGTTACCAGCTCGTATGGAAACTGGCTGTACCCCCGGAAACTTTTGAGCGTCAAGGTACAGTAGAAGAGGATACAGGCGTTCTATTCCGCTCGGAAAAATAAGCAAACGTTTATATACCGTTTCTGTTTGGCTCGCGTAGAGAGCGTGAACGGAGAATTCGTGAGCGATGGGAATCGTTTTTGTCGCCCCGTGATCGAGAGTCCCGAACCGATCGTAAATTGTATCACCGGATTTCGGAGCAGCAATGATCTCTCTCGCGCGCGCGCGAGACCGTTCTCGAAAGTTTGCACGTTCTTCCCACGAAGGGACGCGAGCAGAACGCTCTTAAGCGTTTTTCTGCGCGACGCTCGATCGATCGAGACGCGAATTCTTTCGCAGGCTGAACTCGCGCGGCAGCTTGATTTATATATATAAGCTCTTCACCTCTTTCTTATTTCTCCCTCCTCGCGTTCGCCGCGGTGATTCCCTTTTCTTTACCTCGGAGTCCCTCTTCATCGTTGTCGCTTCTTATTCTCGAGCAAAGTCCGAAGAGTGTCGTTTTTACGCGCGAACGAAATTAGCGTCGAACCGATCACGTCCACGAAATACGGAGATCGTAATCGACGAACACGAATCGATCGAAAGTTTCGTAGTTGGTGTTTTTAATTCTCACGATGGAATTGTTACGTCATCGGTATCGCTTGTCGTCCAAGATGTCCTTGTTTGAAAACTCGTCTACGACGTCCGAGTTCGTCGGGATGACGATGGCGAGGGGATTCCCTCCTGAACGAAACGCATTTGGTAGATCGGCCCGTCGATCTATGTACACTGACGAGCAAATTCTGCTTCCGCTAGGGGTAAAACTGAAGTAGGCGAAGGGCCTCCTACCATTTAATTTTGGGAGTTACTGAAATTTATGCCAAATTAACATTTATTTTAGTACTTGAAATAAATTTACTAAGTGGTAGGAGAATTTTCTTCTACGTATACTTTTTTCCCTAGAGGAAGCAAAGTTTGCTCGCGAAGGTACTCCTTCTGCTAGGGGAAAAAGTGGTGTAAAAGAAAGGCCTGCTACCACTTGGTATCGGGAAGAACTTTATCGGACCGTGGAACGCGCGATTAATTTATTTTTTTCAGCGTAGAATACTAAACGGAACAGCACTCGATAACTTTTCCTTTCTCCTCAGGGGAATCGCCAAGGCGGGCGAACCGAACAATTTTTTGCCAATGTCTCCGGCCTCCCTGCACATGGATCCCACGGTGTACGCGACCTTGAGGAGAAAGCAGAGAAGACTGGCCAGGGAAAACCCAGGGGTGCTGATGGCCGTGGCAAGGGGCGCGAACCAAGCGATCGCGGAGTGCCAGCACCAATTTCGCAATCGTCGATGGAACTGCTCCACCAAGAATTTCCTTCGTGGGAAAAATCTCTTCGGCAAGATCGTCGACAGAGGTGAGCCACGATTTTTCCTTTCTCTTCGCTGTACTGCCTTTCTCTCTATCTTGCGTCTCTCCACGCGGTCGGACGAATATAAATTATCGTTCGTATATTACGCGAGCTCCGAGCTAATTGGAACAACGAAAGCATTTGCTTCTTGCGTGGCTAGTGGCCTGTGTCGGTCGGTGTCGTGCATTTTTCTTTCATTCCTCGCGACGATCCGTCGAAAGATTCCGTGAGCGAAGTAGACCGAATACGACGCGCAGCTACTCCGAATCACAGAGTCGTCGGGACGAATCGAGATTCGTGATAAAACGACCACGGGTCTGTATATGTATATCTGCTGTTTGTATGTGTATATGTATATATACATATATATAAGATTTACAGGAGACGAGTTTCGAGAAAACAGAGACAGACCGGGAGACCATCGAAGAGGGGAGAACGTAGCGGAGAGAGAAGAACGCTTCCGCGACCGCGGCCCCGCGAATCCCCCTTTTATAAATTGCAACCGACAAATCCGTCGATGCCGGGTGTCTCGACGGTCCCCGAAGGTGGGATTTCCTATCAGCGTGTCTGACAGACGTGCTCGTTTTCGTCCGAACTGTTGCCGAATCGGACGAATCCTACCGTGTCGGAACACAATTGAATACATACGTGGAACGCAAGGAAATGTTTATGAATCGCGAAAGACGCATGGTCCCGAACTCTGATAACGGAAACGCTCTCTATCTTTATCACAGCGTGTCGCTTACCTACAGGCAGCATCAACGGAGGTCGTTGTCTCTCTCGATCGCTCGTGGTGGTATACACACGTCATCGATAATCGAGGCGATCGACAAACGGGTTATAGGTACATACTGGCTGCTCGAGTTTCAACGCGGTAATATCGTTAGTCGATCGATTCGCGAAGCACCGTAGAAAACTAACGCGTCCGCCGCATAATTAAAATACCTGTAAATGGGATTACGGCTAGTTAGCCGCGCACGATAATTTGTCGAAGGGTAAATCGGTCGCCAGAGCAGAGTTACGAAGTGTGTTATATATGTATGTATCAGAGATGGGCAGAATTTTATTCGAATAGTACATAGTGAGAAGCAGCAGTGTCTAACAAGGGAAGGCACTGAAGTGTCCCCCTCCGATTTTGATAAAACTTCGTATGTCTGTTAAGCAGTTAAAAATAAGGGATACGTGTTTTTTTTTTATCGGCCGAGACGCGACTTTAAGGGGTGAAACCACCCCTTGAAGTTTCGATCTTTATCTTTTATTCGTTATTTGATACCTTCTATCTAGATAATGAATTTGCCCATCTCTGGTATGTATGTACATATGTATCACGGAGAATTTCGCGCAAGGAACAGCAGGCGGTCGTCGCGCGCGCAGGGACCGGAAGAGTCGCGTTCGAAGACACGACCCAGAGCAGGGGTGTCGGCGTGTCGGTCGCGGCAAAAGGGTTGCAACGGGGGAAGAGAGTGACCGATGCGAAGAGGATCGTGAAGCGAGACGAGGACGAGGGGGATCGAAATGGGCGGTGCCCTTGGTCCGAAGGCCCCGGGCACGTGCCCTCGCCGACCAGATGTATGTTTTGCAACCTGATAATGGACCTTCTCGTACCAGTTCTGGCTCCCCTGCGGCTCTTTTAGATCTCGTCGAGGCGATTGTAAGCGGAGCTTTTTCGCTCGGCCCTGCTCCCCCCGTCCCAATCGCCATCCAGTGTCCCCATATGGCCACTTATCGCGCTGGTGAAACCGAAAAAAAAAAAAAGAAAGAATCAACGGGTTACAAAATAGCGGGAGAGGAAGAGCGAATCGGCGCGAACGCGCATGTACATATAACCCTTTCCCGTGACGCCACGCATCGACGCGCTGCGCAACACTGCGCTGCTGCGTCGTTCACCCCTCCGCGGTCCCTATCGCGTTACACACGCCTCTCTTCCTAATAGTTTTACCCGTAAACCCGGCCAAAACAGGGGACCAATGAATAGACTTTGAAGCGTCTAATAGTCGCAGATGCCACCTTTTTGCGTTCGACACCGCCGATGGTCTTATTAGCGTTCTCTCTGTTACCACCGTCGAGCCTTGCGCGTTCCTCTCTGATCCCCTGCACGCCCTTCTGTTACCATTACCTCGGATTTGCAAACAATGGAGGAACAACCTCGGTGGCACCCACTCCAGTCTTTGTCGTACCGTGAAAATTGAGTCGTTTCGAACTATTATACATGTACCTATATTGTATAAATAGACAAGAAGCACGATCCAGACAACGTTAAGGTTAGTCGTCGTCGTTTTTTTTTCCCCTCGTGGATGAAGATTCCCGACCGGTTGGCAAAAGGGCCACGACCTTTCACCCTTTTCGATCGCCTCGCTGAAATACGAACAGGACTAGTTTTTCACCGTTCTCCCCTGTTCCCGTCTTTCTCCTCCTCGCCCCGTATCGTTTGTCTTCGAACCGATCTTCGAGATTAGAATCTGCACGAGGCCCTCGGTTCGCGCGTGGATCGCTGGGGACAGAACGCAGATTGCTATCGTCGATCCGTAACGTAACGCTAGCGCGTAGGTACTCGTCGTATTTGGAGATCGAGAAGGGGATCGCTGGCGACCGGTCGTCGCACGCCGCCAGCCTAAACGGTCGTTTCCGGATTATGCTCCGCGAGCTGCGCATTCACACACGACGCATTGTTCTCCTTTATTTTTTATTTTCGTGCTTCTTTCGAATTACGATCACGATTATGGCCTGATTATGCGCAGGTTCAATATCAGAACCCTTGAAGAGCAAAATGGTAAACTGTACTGCACCGACTTACTTGAACTGTTAAATTTCAATTTTCCTAATTATTCATTCAGTGAGAAAATTTTTTTTCGTACAGGTAGACTCCATTTAAACGGTTTTTATCCAAAAAAAGTAATCACATGGAGCAAACACTCCGTGTAAATCGGGTGTATTCCGATTGCTCAATAACCGTGAATATTTTGATTGCCCGCACAAGAGTTAATAATTGTAAAAAGGGTTCTTACCCGTAAGAACTAAGTTAAATTAAATTAAATTAAATTCACTCGCCGGTACTCTTTTCAACAATCGGGTAACAGTGACTATCTACCCAAGTACACGTTTATGTCGTGTCTCCTGAAAAAACACCCGTCACAGCCCCACCGATAAGAAGATGACTTAGATTTTAGTCGAGTGAAAGAGAGCGTCTCGCGCGTGTCGAGGCTGGGAGAGCAGCGGGATACTTTTGGAGGCGTTTGTACTCGATATTATAGCTGGTAGTGAGTAGGTTCGCGGCCTGTAATCATTTCGCCGCCAAGAGCCACCTACCGCATCGGTCTCTACCCTCGGTGTGTTTCGTTCGCTCCTCTTCTCTCTCTCTCTCTATCTCGCCCCTTGTCCAGCGCTCGGCGCTCGCGCGATCAGCGCGCCGTTTCAAGCTGTTCGGCGATTCGCGTGGAAGCCGGAGCGGAGTCTTCGCCAAGCCTAATTGCTCGGTAAACTGCGAATCTCGCGAGAAAGCCTCCGTGCAGCTCGCGTTTTCCGCCGATTTCACGGGCATCGCGCGTCGATCCCGCTCGGAGATCAGCGCGAAACGAAACCCGCTGGAATAACGCCACACGTCCGCCAGGGTATAGATCGCGTTCGGTACCAATCATGGTTCGTAGATACTATCGGCCAGCGTGAGTGTATTTAACATTACAGCTGAGTATCGACGCGAAGCTTCCAAGACGACCGACGATCCTCGAAAGATAATCTTTCATCTTTTTTCTTTCTTCCAACGGTTATCGTCACTATAGACATAACATATAGACTGTGCATCTCCCTGAAACGACGTCCTAAGTTTAGAAGGAAGTATATAGATTTTGGAGGTTTTGGCATCTTTTTGTAAATCTAAGAGGTTCTTGGGGTCAGGATGTTAGAAATAGATAGCAAGTCCTCTTAAAGTTAACCCTACATAACACCTCGAAGACGTCCATTTTACGGAAATTCAGGTCTAAGGCGCCTTTAAGCCGTCTTCAAGGCGTCATTAGGCGCGTCTTTTCAAAATTGGGACGTCAGCCTGACGCGCAGTCTATATCTATGTCTATGATCCTCACCAACGGCAGCTTTTTAATTCCGTGAATTTCCACGATAACGAGACTCCTGTTCGCGAAACAAATAAACAAATAAATTTGATCGATAGCGGAGGAGCGTTGACGCGGGTCGCGTCTTATACGGAGACCCGGTCCGTGGTTTTTGCGACGGCGTTACGCCGCCATAAATCGCGGCCTATGATGGGCTACATGTGTCGACGGCACGCCACGATTTCTTGCGAAAACGTGAGCCGCGAGCCAATGGGGCCTGCTGGCCTGGTCCCCCCCCCCCCCTCCCCCACGACGTGTACGAGTTCCCGCGACAGAGGCCGGCCTATATGGCGGTCGCGTTTTCGCGCCCCTCTGCCCCCACCCCTCTCTAACGCGACCGAGAACCACAGAGCGCCTCGCTTTCGTATTCAACGGACGCGAGCTGGTCGATGCAGTTTTTCGTGGATGATCGACGTCGTTCCTCGTCCCTCCTCGTTGTAGTCGCGCGACGACGCACGACGCCGCTCGGTTTCTCGAGATTTCATTCCCGTTTCCCTCGGCCACGCTACCGATCCGATCGACGATGGCTCCTCGAGGCGCCTGGTAGCGCATGATTTCCGGCGATCTTATCGTTCTGGGAATTTCTACGTTCGTCGTGAAGTCGTGTCGCGATCTATTTACAGTTGGGTTACAGACTGGGTCGTTCTACACGATTATTGTCCAGGCGTTATACCCACCATTGGGGAGGGGGCTGAACCTGTCAAGCGCATACTTTCGAGCAAAAAATGAATTTACAAGGGTCCGAAGTATTTTTCCCTATATGATTATTGTCCTGTCGCGGACCCAAGTTCGGGACAATAATCGAGTGGAGCCTGTTGAAGCTGACGGCGGCCATCTTCCCACGAGACATCGCGGGATCGCATTCGTAGTTCCCCCCCTCTCGAAACTTTGCTTGCTCGCGACAAGACTTCCCTTTCGTTTCGGAGAAAAACACCGCGAGGACCTGGTCTGTTTTTCCTCGACCGAGAGAACAGGTACGAGGCCGTCCGGGTCCCGCGAACCAGCCAGGAATTTCCATCGACCCGAGTCGACGCGGCTGTTTGCCCTGCGGCAACGTGCACCTATCCACCTTGCTCGACGCTATTTGCACGGGGCCCCGATAAAGCGGAACGTTAAACCGTTTATCGGGCCGCGCGGAAAGTCGACGGGATACACACGGTCGGGATGGTCGCGCGCCGTTCGTCCACGAAGAACAAACAACACCTTCGCTCGGGATTATCGGAGCCAAGAACGATGGTTCTTTTTTTCTTTCTCTCTTTTCTCTCGGACCGTTCCTGTCTGGGACCCGATAACGATTTTTCGCTTCGGATAATCGTTCTCGCGGCAAACCGACACCGACTGCTCCTTATCTTCGGCTGTTTGACGATCGTAAAATCTTCGGGGAAAGGATCGAAGCCGGCCGACGGACTCAAAGTCGCGGTCCCATCGACGGCCAATGGGATTACGATCCACGTGATGTAGCGTTACATGTACCGTGTACCGAACACCTGGGATGATTTCATCGGTTCACAGCCAGGTCGTCGACGCCTGGTCGACGTGCCTTGTAAGCGTATTCGCGTAGCGAGAACTCCCACCGTCTGTGTAATCCTCTCGGTCATGGCAGCCGGAGGGGATGATGACGAATAATATCTGGAACCGATGAAATTTTTCGGGAGACCAGGTCGAGAAGACAAGGTAACAGGGTGGAACGGCGTAAATCTTGCCGTTCCCCCATCGGTCGACGCGAGCCTGGAAAGGACCGAGTCTCGGTCGCTTCCGTGTCTGACCGCTTTTGGCCCCCGGTCTTCGCCTTGGACGGGGATTAGGGAAAATCGTGTTTCTTTCCCTCTCCACCCTCTTTTCTTCCTTTCTCTCGTCGTTTCGCCGTGAAGACTCCCTGCCCACCGTGTCGACGCGAACGGGTCGGCACCGAGGTCGTCGTGGCAGCCCCGCGGCGGAAAAACGTCTATCGTGACGAATCACTAGGAGGATGATCTCGCTTCGAAATTGGACGCGCTCGATTATCTTCCGCCGCACCGGTTTTTCCATTCTTCGACTACCGGGAGCCTCCGTTTGACGTCTCATTTCCAGCCGATTTCTCGGATCTTCGTTGACCTGTCCCGGCCAACATTTCCACCTGGGAAGATTTTTTATTGCACCGTAGGATGGAAATATTTTTGGGTCCGACGCTTTTATTAGTTGGAGAGGGTGTGAACTAGAGCTGTTGATTATAAGATACTCGAGTACACGGGTATCTCATGAGACATCCAGGTAATTTTCGTTTACTCGGTTATCTCACGGGTACCCGAGTACCCGGACATCTCAGATACCCGGTTAAAATCAATAGCTTTAATGCGAACGCGTGCTTCGAGTCCGTTCCGTTTTTTCTCCCGACAACGATCTATCGGAGAGTAAGTTCTTCAAATATTACACGGTCGATACACCGTTCACGTCGAGCTAACGTTTACTTCGTGGCACGAGATAACATCGCGTTATCTACGGCACCGATAAAAGTGGCAATTTGCGAGACGACCCCACTGAACTGGTGGCTCGCGATACCCTCGCACGGCAGGTCGCAAAGGTGCCGGCAGGCACCTGCGCCTTATGCAGATAAGGTCGAGGTGCCTCTCGGGTCAGCCCACTCAGGGTTAAGGTCGTGTTCCCTCTACCTCCTCTCTATCCACTTCGTGTTCTCTTTCTCTCTTCGTTTCTGCCTCGAATTCTCGGAGTGCGCGTCCTTGTTCGTTGCACACGGTTGCGGGTTCCTTGCACACCTGCGCCCCGAACAGATCTCGCAGGTAGTCCACGTCGTAGGATTGAGACGTTCTCTGTGGTCACCGTTCGTTCTCGCTCTTTCGCCTCCCACGTTACACACCATCGCAAAAGTTTTGTCAGCGACACCTTACAGTCAGAAATTTCTAACAAGGGAACGCACGGAAGTGTCCCCCTTCGATTTTCATGAAACTTCGTGTGTATGTTAAGCAGTCAAAAATAAGGGACACGTATTTTTTTTTATCGCCTGAGACGCGACTTTAAGGGGTGAGAATGCTCCACGAAGTTTCAACCCGAAAGAAAGGAGATACGTGAAAACTTGTGATGGACGATTTTTGCGGTTTTTTTTATGTAGAATAATATAGTGCTAACAAATTGTACAAAATATAATTTGTTTATAACAAAAAGATTTCGGATCGAAACTTCAAGGGGTTGTTTCACCCCTTAAAGTCGCGTTTCAGTCGATAAAAAAAAAATACGTATCCTTTATTTTTGACTGCTTAACAGACATACGAAGTTTCATCGAAATCGAAGGGGGACACTTCCGTGCCTTTCCTTGTAAGAGTATTTACGACCGTATAATAATTCATTCGAAGGCATATCGAGGCATATGCCGTCAAAACAACAGGGTAAAAAAGTAAATTAAACGTTGGATTATCGTTTGATTGCAGGATGCAGAGAGACTGCGTTCATTTACGCCATCACGAGCGCTGCCGTGACTCACAGCATCGCGAGAGCGTGCAGCGAGGGCAGCATCCAGTCGTGTTCGTGTGACTATACGCACCAATCGCGAGCACCGTCCGGCTCCCTTGAATGGGAATGGGGTGGGTGCTCCGACAATATCGGGTACGGCTTCAAGTTCTCCCGCGAGTTCGTCGATACCGGGGAACGTGGTCGGAATCTGCGGGAGAAGATGAATTTGCACAACAACGAGGCTGGCAGAGCGGTAAGCAGACATTTTTCTGATCCTTTCTTTCTTTTTTGAGGGAACATTTCACGATACCTACAAAAATAAAAAAAGTGGCTTTTGCCCCATCCTAGAAGAAAAAAAATTGGATTTGCCCCTCCCCCTCCTTCCCCAGAGTTATAAAATTTTTGCGTAATATTTAACCTCTATCAACAAAACGCATTCGACGATTTATAACTTTAAAATAAACGTTGTCTGGCCACGTACGACATTTTTCACTGTGGCAGTCGATACGTTAATATTTTTGCCCCATTCTGAACTACGCCCGTGCCTACGCGAGCCAAGGGTATGAGTGAGAATATTTCTCTGTTGTATCGCAGCACGTGTCCTCGGAGATGAGACAGGAGTGCAAGTGCCACGGCATGTCCGGCTCGTGCACCGTCAAGACCTGCTGGATGAGGCTGCCGAACTTCCGCGTGGTCGGCGACAATCTGAAGGATCGTTTCGACGGCGCGTCACGCGTGATGGTGAGCAACTCGGATCGCGTACGGGGAAACGGGAACGCGATAGCCAGCAACTCGGCCAGCAATTCCGTGCACGGACACCGCGATGGTCTTGGTCGTCGGCACCGGTACAACTTCCAGTTGCAACCGTACAATCCGGAGCACAAACCGCCTGGACCGAAGGATCTGGTCTACCTGGAGCCGTCTCCACCGTTTTGCGAGAAGAACCCGAAGCTGGGTATCCTAGGTACACACGGGAGACAGTGCAACGACACAAGCATCGGTGTCGACGGCTGCGATCTGATGTGCTGCGGCCGGGGCTACAAGACCCAGGAGGTGATGGTCGTCGAACGATGCGCGTGCACCTTCCACTGGTGTTGCGAGGTCAAATGCAATCTCTGCAAGCACAAAAAAACGATACACACGTGCCTCTAGGCCGCCACCATTCGCTCTTCCTTCGTTCTTTCCTATCACTATACCCAGACCTGTTTCCCGGTTCTCCGTCCCTTTTCCTCTCGTAGAGACTACCACCTTCCCGGTGAAGGATGCTTTCGTAGTCTCTCGACAACCCCCCCGGCTAGATTGTCCGAGACAAGGTGGTGCGTCCAGGTGATCACCTACCGCGAAACTCTGCGAGCCAGGCCACACCGACCGTGTTTCTGTCGCGTGGCAGAGCCCTCGTGCGACCGGGGTGCTCTTTTCGCCCAGTATTAATGCGAAACGATCGGAACCACGTATGCATGTATTTATTACAATGTTCCATGGACGCGTACTAAAGACTGAGGCGATGGGAAGAGCGCGTCGAGCTCCGTTGGTGGTTCGCGATCGTCGACTTTAAAGAATCTTCTATCGTGTAAGTTTAGAGAAATGAAAATTTTGATATCGTTTTACTGTAAATATATGTACGTCTACGATACTTCTTGTTCCGTCTATTGCGCGACACTCTTTATCGCTGTGCCCCCGTTTGCCCGGGAAAATCCGAAGCTTCGGATTCGCCTCGCGCGACGCACCCATTTTCGCAAATACACGCGAGGTACACTTACGAGCAAACTCAATTTCCGCTAGGGAAAAAAGTGGCGTAGGGAAAACCATGCTCCTAGCTGTTGGTATTCGGAATTACTAAAATTTATGCCAAATTAACAGTCGATTTAACATTTATTTCAGTACCTGGAATAAATTTACCAAGCGGTAGGAGACGCTTATTATATACCGCTTTTTCCCCTAACAGAAGTCGAGTTTGCACGTCAGTGTACATTGGACTCGTTATTTATTCCGATCCTTTGGATCGCGTGCTTGTATATACGTATAATATATATATATGTACATATGTGTATACATATATACATATATATATATATATATATATATATGTGGCTATATATTTATATAAATACGATTACGAAATATAATAATTGTAAAAATATACATGTATATTTTTTAGCATTACGTTCGTGAGAGTATCGCGCTACGAAAGCCTTCATGTAAATAATCGTCCCCCGCCCCCTTCCCCCTCGAGACGAATATCCAACGCTCCATGAATGGGCGGATAAATTATTTTTCTACGTATCTCCTCGTTCTCCCCGAAACGAACGAACCGTTCGCCTCGCGATCGCGCGGCGTTCCCTCGTAGGTTTAAAGATGTACCAATTAGCCCAGTGTTAGATCGCGCGGCTCCGCTATCGCCGTCGAGATGAATGAAAACGGTGACTAAGATATTTGTACGCACACGATACGACAACAAGGTCTCGATTGTTTATATTATTAATTTTATTTTGTAATTTATACAGATGGACGTATAAGAAATTGGAAAAATAAAGACGTATTCGAGTTGAATGGTCCGCGTCGCGCCAGTTGTTTTTCTTTCCCGTGTTTCCCAGAAGAGACGGTTACGAGCGAGAGATCGTCGCGACGACGTGTTTGTCGTCGTCTCCGAGTCTTTCGTGGTCTCGCGCGAGACGCGGGGCCCTTTCCCCGCGAAATATAGCCGACTGGTTCCCCGCAGTTGGACGACTTCATAACTCCTCGCCGGGTGAATATCGTGGGAGGCCCGTGCCCCGAAGAAGACTGGTTCGACTCTTCCTTTCCTCCCTTCCTCTCCCCTTCTTCCCTGCCGCAGCCAGCCAGGCTGCTTGCCTGCCTTCTTCTTCGTACCCCCTTTCCTACCCCGCGGCCGTTTCCCATCGCGTTCCTTCCTCCTACGTTTCTACCTTGTTTCGTTTCTCCTTGGCCGGGCGCTGCTGCACGCGATGATAACGAACGAAGGAATCCCGCAGGAATCTCAGTACGGGATAAAAGGATTCTGACCGCATACGAACAGGCATCCGCGCTAATGGTTCCGACACTCCCGCTGCCCCCTGCCCCTTACTCTGTCCCTGTTTCTTCCTTTCTCCCTTTTCTCTTCGTGCTCGTTTTTTTCTTTTTTTTTTTTTTTTTTTTTTTTTTTTTTTTTTTTTCTCTTTTCATCTTTCTCTCTCGTCGGCCAGATCGCCACGTTCCTTCTGTTCCTGTCCTCGTTCCGTTCCCTTCTAACGATCGGTATTTCCACGTTGTAAGTGGATTCCGAGAGTCCGCGGGCGTCGATCGGTCACGATTCCGTCGTCGTTCGATTCGAGTCACCCAGAGGACGAATCTCTATCGTCGAATGTTCGTCAACTAGGCGCGGATCGGTCGCGTCCTCGGGACGAAAATCAGGTGGCACCAGGAAAAGGGTAGGTTCGCCGCTATACTAAAACAAATTCTTGGTGCGCGAACGGGCTCCCAGCGTGTCCCGACAGACAAGAATCTCGGCCAGCCGGGCCACTTCTCACGGCGGTTCCTTTGATCTCGGCCAACCACCCCCTCGTCTCCATCACGGTCACTCGAGCACCGGCAGCGACCACGACCGCCTCCCTCGGCAGCTCGCCTCTCGGCTTTTTACCCGTTGCTGCTCTTCCGCCCCCCCCCCTCATCGCCCCTCTTGCTTTCCCCTCTCGTCGTCGCCTCGCGTCCTTCCATCCCGTTCCTCGTGCCGCGACGACACGGACCCACTTGCACGATCCAAGAGAAACCCACCGAGAGATATACCCCGCGGGACCGAGCTGAATTCATTCAGTTTTACTATTATTACGCATACCGTCACGCGTGCGGCTCGTTCCACGCTCCGGAATGTTCCACGGCATGGCAGGAGGAACGGCTCGAAGCGGAGTTTGCTCCAAGCCGCCCGAGGATCTCTTACTCGGCTCGCCTACCCCCCGACCTCCCGAAGCAGCGCGTGCCAATTTCGTTTAGGTCGGTCGGACGGATAATCTCGATTGTACGCGTTGGCCGACGAAAAATTTCTTGTAGAAATATAGAGCCTCGAATATAAGGTTTATTCCTTTGGTTTTCGCAGGACCAGTGGAGAAACTGAGAGGTAGAAGAACGGCGGAAGCAGTCAGGATCGGGAATTCAGTTTAATGCAAGGCGTTTAAGGCGAAGAGAACGGGAACGATGTTTCGGAAAAAGAGGCCGACCGTGCAAAAGCGTGGCGACGGGACGACCAGTCGTTCTCTCACGGTTCTCGCGAGAGGATTCGTCTTCTTCGATCGGTTCGCATCGGGCTCATTATACTCGGACGAATACGAAATTCAGTCCACGAGGTTGACAATCGTGGGGACCCTCTTGGGAGACAGTGGCTCGCGTCGCGTCGAGCCGTGTCGAATCGGGCGTCGCTTCGTGAACAGGACCCCATCAGGGATGCCACGCGCGTGTGATCGGGCACGACGCGCCGCGTGCCGCTCTTCGCCCGCCTTTCTGCCCCGATTTTATCGTCTCTTCTCGGCTTCTCCTAACCCAGTGATGGGAAACCGAGCGGGCTCCTGTGAAGGCGACGCTAGGGAGGAAACGTAACGACATATTTGCGTATTGGGATTCCTTGACCCTTCTCGCACATTTTAATCGAAAATAGCGTATCACTCGTATAGATTAATAATCATTTATGTTTCTTTTTATTCAAAACAGATAGAAGCAACCTGATCTAGTGTTGGTCACGCGAAAATGGTGCCTTTATGTTAGGTACTATTATGTATAACTAGTATTTAAAGTAATTGTTATTAAATTTATACAAATGCCATTGTAAATTGTATATTTTCTTACGATTTTTCGATAAGAAAAACAGTCAAACCATACGTATGCGTTATTCATTAATCCCACACTATCTCCACTCCTATTCCTAATATCAATTAAGCAAAAAGATGGCGGAAAAACCTACAAGTTTGTGAGGGTCTCTTGGCCCCACCAGGGGTATACGATAGAATGAACGAACGTAAAAGCAAGTCGATTCGCCTCCTGATTCGCGGCCCTTCCTCCCGTCTAATACGTCAATGCGACACGACGATTCCGAATGATTTTCGCTTAGCCGAAGAATGACCCCGAGGCGATCTCGCTTCGTAACCACGCTCGAACCATCGGCTCGCGCCTAAGAAAAGAAAAACAAAGTCGTCGCGATTAATTTCGGGTACACCCGGTCCACCAAGTTGCAATTTCGAGAGGCAGAAGAACAGGAACAAACAGAGAACCCGACAAAAACCGGGCAGAAAGGTTAAAGTAAACGATTACGGTGACTGGGTGGAGACGGAAAGAGAGGCGAAATAAAACGAGAACCCGACGAAGAGGGCAGGGGAAGGTAGAGGACGAAGAGGCGGAGGGGGAGAAGAAGTCCGGCGTGCTTCCTGTTGCGCTAATCTTCCACTCCCGTGTAGGCCTCGTCCACCGTAGGAATTATTTCCGATAAAAAACGGGCGAGTAAATCAACTAATTTATCGTTTTTGCGATTGGGAAGAAGGTGGGTCGTGGACGTCTCTTGCCCGGTAGAGAGGCATACCCTAACGGAATGGCAGGAATCCCTTTTGGCGGGTCCTGGATCTCGTCGTCCTTTCCGAGGGCCATCCGTGGGAACGAATATCGGCTGACGTTCGGGACCACACGGTCGAATTATCGGTGTTTTGGCATGTTATAGGGCTCCACCGTCGGAGTCGGTTCCTTTTTCTCTCTCGCCTTTTGGTAGCCGAATTTGCGCGCGCTCGCGTTCGCGCTCCCGCGCACACGTCCTCTCCTCTCCGTACCCGCCGCTCGCCTCGCTCGTTCCTTCTTTCGTCCTTCGCCACTTCTCCCCTGCTGCCCTTCTCCTCTTTCGCCCTCGTCCACCGTCTTCCGCGGAACGAGCAAAGGGAATCTCCTCCGGAATCCACGTCCCCGTCGACTGTGGGAACGAAAGCACGAGATCGCGATTCTCCGTACACCGTGTTCCGAGGCGTTCATCGACAACCAGATTCCTATCCTATCTAGCTTTATCTCTCCACCGATCCCCTTCCCCCCTGCCTCTTCGCCCAGCCTCCACCCCTCTGTCTAACTCGGACGGCCGCGGGAAGGAATTCGCGCGATGCGTTCGTTCCGACGTCCCATCCACCCCCGACGTC